CCCCGGGGTTCCTGGCCACCCTGGGGTCCCAGCCACGTCGGGGGCCAGGACACACGGGGATCCCGGCCGCACCAAGGTCATGGCCACACCGGGGTCCTGGCCACACTGGGGGGGGAGGGGGTCCCAGCCACGCCAGGGGTCCCAGCCATGCCACGGGTCACGGCAACACTGGGGGTCCCAGCCACATTGGGGGTCCTGGCCAAACTGGGGTCCTGGCCACACCAGGGCCCCAGCCACACCAGGGTCCCAGCAACACCGGGGGGTCCCGGCCACGCCAGAGGTCCTCGCCAAACTGGGGTCCTGGCCACACCGGGGGTCTCAGCCACGCCGGGGTCCCAGCCACACCGGGGGTCCTGACCAAACCAGGGGTCCCAGCCGTGCTGGTGTCATGGCATCACAAGGGTCCCAGCCACACTGGGGGTCCCGGCCACACCGGCGTCACGGCAACACCGGGGGTCGCCCGGCTATGCCGGGGATCCCAGCCACACCGGGGTCATGGCCACACTGGGGGTCCTGGCCCCCCCGGGGGGTCCCAGCCACACCAGGGTCCCAGCCCCAGCGGGGTCGCAGCCCCACGGGACACCCATGGGTGCAGAGCATCCCGCAGGGGCTCCCTGGGGCCGGGGAGGGGAGCGGGGCTGGCAGGTCCCTCACCAGCCCCCCGACTTCTGCTGCAGGGCCTCGGTCACCCCGAAAATAACCAGGAGCAGAGCCTGCCGCAGAAAGCACCGGTCACCACCGTCTACGAGCAGATCCGCCGGGCGCCAGAGGACACGGCCGAGGAGGTGACATAGGCCCTCAGGTGCGAGGGGGGCTGCCCCCAAAAGGGGACCGGTGCCGGGGGGGGGTCTGCTTGTGGGGACCCCCCCCCAACCTCCGTCACGGCACGCCGCGGAGGCTGAAGGGCTCCTCTCTCCCGCAGGCGCCCGCAGAGCCGGAGCATCGGGATTTCCCGGAAGGGCTGTAAAGTGCGTTGTGTGCCAAATCCGAACCCTCCAGCCCCCGTTTCGGCTCCGGGGATGGGAGGCACCATCTCGGGGCGATAGCCGGACGGATGCTTTCCTCCCCACCTCCGGTTTCTCTCCAACCTCTTTGTCTGACGCCCTCCGAGACTGTTTGGGGAGCGG